ATCTTCATCGCTCACCCTCTTCTTCCTCCCCCCCCCCGCGGCCGCCAAGCTCAGCCTAAACCCGCACCCGCCTTCGCTGCGCGGCCACGACTTGCTCTGCTCACGTTTTCACGCCTCAGATTTACCCAAATCCCACCCCCCTCCCCCCCAAAAAATCCACGGGACAGGGAGGAAAAATGCGATATTAAAATTCTTTCCGAGGTGTCAGGTTGCTCCCAAAAATCTCAGCCCGGCTCAGCCGCGACTTTGGGGCTCCAGCAAACGAAAATAAAGTGTCTCTCCTTCCCTCCGCCCCAAAAAACACCAATTCCCGAAGTTTTAGGCAAAAAAATAACGGGCAGAGCGGAGCGGCACCAGCCCGGAGCCCCTCGCAGCCCAGTCCCCACCGCATTCCTGATGCAGTAATTCAATTATTTGCCTTTTATTTGCTTGGATGGGGGGGTGGGGGGGAAAGAGCCTGGGAATAAAGTTGAAAATTAAACGTTTCTGCTCTCCCAGCACCGGGGGAAGATTAAACTCAAGGAGCCGAGCCCGGAGTCCTGCCTTCCCCGCCGCTCTAGGGTTACCTCGCCGGCAGAAAAAGCTCTCACATCAAACACGGCATTTGTTTTCCCTTGTTCCCCCCTTTCTCCCGGAACTGGGGTAAGATTTGGCACTTCGGGAAAAAAAAAAACAAAAAAAACAAAAAAAAAGAAATTCACGTTCTCCTGCAACACTTGCTGCCGGCTCCGGGCACCGCTGAGCAAAGAGCTCCATTAAGGATTATTATTTAATTTATTTTTATTTAAGGGATGCGGTGCCGTGCGGCCTCACCCCCGAAATTTGTCCGGGGAGGAAAAAGAGGATAAGGGGGTGACAGGGGACTGTCACAGCCGAGGGAGGGGGGGGGGACACTCCTGCTGGAAAGCAATTTCACAAATCATTTTTCTAACAATTAAGGAGTGTGCAGGGGTGAAATGGCGATTTCACATGCAGGGCCGGGGGCCGGGGTGTTACCTGCGCGCCCGGCTGAGAAACAGGGAACCCCTTCTGGAATTTCGGGAAATTTCTCAATATTCTCCCCCCCCTTTATTTTTTTTTTTTTTTTTGGCCAGTTCTCTGCTTCATTACCCACGTTCACAAAAGAGAGACCCCTTCTTTTCTCTCCTGGGAGCAGTGAGCAATAGATTAAAACAAGCATCAATCAGGAAAGGAGCAAGTAACTGCTTAAAGGAGCCGGGGCAGAATTCCTCCCGCTTCCCCCTTTCCCTGCGCATCTCCATGGTTTCCTAAGGTATGTTTCTGGTTGATAAATACCGTATATCGCTATTCCCTTCGGAGAAACGGCTTGTAAATCAGCGCCGAGAGCCAACTCAGGAGCAGGAGGGAACAGGGCTGGGGTTTATTTTTATTTTTTTAGGAGCACCTCTGGTCCCCCCCGTCCATCCCCCGCATCCTTCGCGGGAGGAAGGGGCTTTTCGAGTTGGATGTGTCCTTGGAGGGGGCGAACATCACCAGACTGGGAGGGGAAAGGGGTTGTGGATCCCATTTTCGACTTGAAAAAGCTGCTCCCAGGTTAACTAAACCTGCCCAGAAAATCACCGGGGCACGAGCGCAGCGAGCGGCCCCGATCAGCAATTTTGTTAATTAGGATTTCCCCCCCCCCCAAAAAAAAAAAAAAAAGTCCTTCTTTTGTTGTTTGGTTTGGTTTTTTAAGGGGATGCCATCCCTTTTCTGGAGAAATGCGGGTCTAGAGATGAGAAATCTCCTTAGGAGATAAATCAGCTGTGCCTCATCTGGTCAGCTAAAACCTCAAGTATTTGATCGCGATTTTCACCACAAGTAGGATGTGGGGGGAAAAAAAAAATCAAACTGCCCGGGGATGAATTATTTAATGAAAAGTTGCTACCTTTGCAATTACAAGAAGATTACTAATGTGGGAAGGTTTTCCATTTGAGATCCCGGAGTAATAAGCATTATTTTTTTAAGCGATTATCCAATAAATCTCTCTTTAAAAGGCGATAAATCCACCTTGAAAACCGGGGATTTAAAAAAAATATTTCTGCGGGACTTCCGCATTTTTTAAAATGACCATTGAAGAAAAAAAAAGAAATCGGGAAAGGAGGAGTAGCACATTCAGCCTGAAGTGTTTGTTTTTCCAGAAAACCCAGAAAGGAGAGAAGGAATATCTGCAGCCACGGGAAAAAGGGGATGTTTAGTTAAAAAGGTGGCTGAGAGCTGGAAAAGCAGCTGCTGCTCCAGGATCAGGGAAGTCAAATCCACAGATCCTCAACATAACCCTGAAAATTTCATTGTGCTTATTTTCAGTAAAGTCCCGAAGCTGCCAAAGGAAGCAGATAAAATGTGGGTGCAGATTTCTGCTGCCTCTCCAGCCTCGGGGATCATCCCCATCCTGCTGGTGCAGAAATGTCCCCCCATGTCCCAGAAGACCCCAAGTGTCCCCAGGTCCCCGAGGTCCTTGGCCAAGGCAGCTCCTCAAGGGGAGCTCCAGGCCAGAGGGGACCTGGATTCATCCCTGAGATCTGCTCCTGCTCGCAGGTGGGATGGGAGAAGCCAGGACGGGGTAGGGAAGGGAATTTTAAGCTCCAAAGCACGACCCTCAGGCTCATGTTGGTCCTTAAATCTCATCCTTCCTCAATGGAAGGCTCTGCTTCTTCACCAGGGATGTTCTTCACTTCGGTGCTGAAGAAGGAAAAAAGTTCTGTACAATCAGACCATGGAGTTTTGGAAGCCCCAAATCACAGAGAAAACAGTTTCCACTTCCAGAACTATTTATGAAGGACAAAAAAAAAAAAAAAATCCCTTTTTTAAAATGTTCCTGCACTCCCAGTCCCAACCCTACAGCTTCCCAAAGAGCTGGGTTATCCACACCGGGAATTCCTGCACCTAACAGGGAGTCAATGGCTTTTTTTTTTTTTTTTTTTCCCCAGAAAAGGCAAAACCCAACCCAAAGGATAAAACTCCAGCCCCACTTCCCTCAGGACACGGAACAAAAGGCAGAGTGTCACCAGCACCACCGGGCTCTGCTCTCCACTAGGTCAGGCTTAATTTGCCCAGGGTGCAGCATTAATAGGATGTAAGCTGG